ACCCGAAATATGTTTTGCTTTCTGGGTTTGCTGAAATGTCAGTTGAGTGATTTAGCAACCAAGAACCCTTGTTGTTTTCTGAGTCTTAAGGCAAGGTGCGATAGAAAGAGAGAGAGAGAGAGAGAGGGAGAGAGAGGAGAGAGAGAGAGAGGGAGAGAGAGAGGGAGAGAGAGAGGAGAGAGAGAGAGAGAAGAGAGAAGAGAGAGAGAGAGAGAGAGAGGAGAGAGGAGAAGGAGAGAGGGGGAGGGAGCACCCGTGACACCGTGCTCGTTTGCCGTCAGCTCGTCAGCGATGTTGTGCACCAGCAGCCTGTTCGGCAGCCCAGGTAAGTGTCACCACGCCGACCCCAGACCGCATCTCCAACGACGTTATCACACTTACTGTGGATCACCACCACCTACACGCTGCCGAAGCTGCTGGACAAGTCCGACCAGTACCCGCACAGTGAGTGGTGTCGTCGGGCCTTGTTGGATCGGCGCCGCTTGCTGTACCTGCATCGGCGCCATCCTCACATTGAGCACGCTTGGTCTCGATTCTCGTTCTCGTTCCACGCAGTGTAGTGCACCCTGGACGGCTCTTTCCGACATCACCTGCTTGTTAAGCGTCACTGGGTATTTAAGCCCATTATTTCTGCAGCAGTGAACAACTCAAGTGATCAAATCCCATCACTTCCTTTCCCGTTACCCAGGGGCCGCGTGTGGTTTTTCCTTCTGACACCATCATCACCACCCACTCACTCCTGAGTTTTACAGGAACGCGACCTTAGCCGGTCGGGGTTCGACGGAGCTGTGCCGGCGCATAGTCAACATAGAACGTCACGCGACCGTTCAGGCCGCTTGCCACGGGCCTGTGACCGCTGTCGCGCCATGCGGCCGCGGCGGCGGCGGCCGCGCGGCGTGCGCGCGGCGGACAGCCACACCTGACAGGAATAGCTGGCAGCGCCATTGTCGGGTGTGAATAGCACGTGGCCCTGATCACGGACTGCGGGGGTGGCCGGCGCCGTGTGGCCGTGAGCTGTGGCGCCGACGGAGCTGCCTCAGCTCAGCCACTGGCCGTCAGCTGTGGCGCTGACGGTGCTGCCTCAGCTCAGCCACTGGCCGTGCCGCCAAGGCCACTTCCTCGCTGACGGTTATGGACGGGCGTGCCTGTCTTTTATCGGCGCCATGACCTCCATTACCGATATCACTACAAACACTCACACTTCGCCAGTTCCGTCCCCGTGTGGCGCCTACGTAGTGACGCACCGAGGCTATCACAGTGGTGTTGAGATTCACAGGATATGGAGAGCTTGTGATAACGGAATGCGATCTAAGGAGATGTCGTTGAGCAAGTCTCAAAGATTATATGCGTGGCGCACACGGCTACAGACGCGCGTCTCGTGATCCTTATCTTCAGTTCCGTTTCAACCAGCACGAGAAATTCACACTTGCGAGCGTAGTAATGGTGTAATGTTTTAGGTCCGCACACGCGGGGCCGTGGCTATTTTTAGACACCGCGTACCAAAAGTGGTGCATGATCCACAGTTGGCCGTGGTCAAGGTGTATCCGTAAAAACACTTCCATGAGATGTAGCTTTTTGGAGAAGTTTTTAGTTTTAGGTCTGAGCAACTCCCGAAGAATAAGCTGAACGCTATACACAGCAAGCTTGAAAACATGGTTACGAACGCTTAGAATTCAAGGTACTTCCTTGCATTTCTTAAAAAAGCAAGGCAAGCCAACAACGAGAAAATAATGTGACATCGCCAG